CATGATCTCAGGGTCTTGGGATCATCGATCTGGTGGGCTCCCTGCTCAGGGGGGAGTCTACTAGAGATTCTCTCTCCTTCTCCCTCTGCTCCAACCCCGTGTGTGAGCTCTCTCTCTCTCAAATAAATAAATCTTTCAATAACTTTTTTAAAAAATGGCACCTTTTATTTCCATATTCGGTATTTTCTAATTTTCCAATTATCGTGGAAGTTCCTTATCAGAGTCTTGTTCACAATAAACACACAAACTGAAACATCGGAACCCCATTTATTCAGCGTTGTAGAAGAAATATTTCTTCTAAATAACGTACATCTTCCCTCTTCAAATTCCAAGGCCTTTTTAAAGATTTTCCTTATTTATTTGAGAGAGACAGAGAGCGTGTGTGTGTGAGATGCTGAGCATGGAGCCCCATGTGGGTGCGATCTCACGACCCCAAGATCATGACCTGAGCTCAAATCAAGAGTCGGATGCCCAACTGACTGAGCCACCCAGGCGTCCCCAAGACCTTTGTAAAAGCATTTTTTTTTTCTGAAATCCTTTTAAAATGTTTTAAACATTTTCTTTATTTCTTAAACTAAGAGTTGAAACTTTCCTTGCTGAGATAGGCCAATGCAGAATGCAGAAACAACCCTGTGGTCAGCTTTTTAATTTTGTTTATATCCTAAAATGACCTTTGTCACTGGTGTGGTCATTGTCCTGACTCAGCTCGACCTGCTCCCCCCACCCCCTCTAGCTTCCCAAGTAGTGCTTATTCATTATTGGCACTGAACGCCACTCACCAAACTTGCTTAGAGTTACACATTAGATTTGATTTTGCTCAAGCTCCAGGTGAGGGTGTGAGAAGTAAAATCATTCACTTTTCTGGAGACTTTGTTGTGGTCATACTGGGTGTCTGGCTTTCTCATCTGGGATATGGGGATAATGAAATCGACTCCAAGGGATGGTAACAGGAAAGGCACATGAACGTGATCTGTATCTGTAGCCCCAAAGCAACTGCTAGGCTGCCTCGGGAGCCAGGAGCCTGACGCTGCAGGACCCAAGGCTGCTGGAGGTCAAAGCCACCTCTGCTTCTCCATAGGCAGCATGCAGAGGGCGACTTTCTCCTTTAGAAGAGCAGCTACTAATGGGGAGCCTGGGTGGCTCAGTCGTTAAGCGTCTGCCTTCGGCTCAGGTCATAATTCCAGGTCCTGGGATCGAGCCCCGCATCGAGCCCCGCATCAGGCTCCCTGCTCGGCGGGAAGCCTGCTTCTCCCTCTGCCACTCCCCCTGCTTGTGTTCCCTCTCTCGCTGTGTCTCTCTCTGTCAAATAAATAAATAAAATCTTTAAAAAAAAGAAGAGGAGCTACCGATTAATTCTAGTAAGCCCTTGGCTGTATTTTTCTAATTGGTTTATAGATTGATTGCTTAAGGGGAACTGGGAGGAAAGTAACCTTTTTGCATCTGAGTTTCTTTGCTTTTAAATATAGAGTGGTACTTTGACATTAGAAGATTTGTGCATAAGTATGTTTTTAATATCAACTTCGTCCCTTTTTTAATGACCCTCAGCAGAAGAAGCCTTTGGCTCTGTCCCAGAGAACTCATTGCACCAAGGTTTGCAGACATTGGTTTGAATTTATTTAAATGTCATGGGATGGAGGCTTTCTTTATGAGCAGATTCCAAAGATTCGTTGCATACCTAAATCTTTGATGAATGTCAGCAATGTAAGGTTACATTGTACTTGAAGGAGTCAAAACTATGTACAAGTATTAGCGATAGCAGTGCTGGATATTATGGTTTAGCCTCCCCGCATTCTAGATCTGCGAGACCCAGATTCATCCTTGATTCTGTATATGAACAAAATGCTGTGTCGGTCTGGGCTAGACAGAACTAGCCGTGTAAGAGCTTGACTGTAGGAAAAGCCTGCGACGGATAAAGGGTGAAGAAAACAGGAGCAGGCAAGTCGTTACAAACAAATAAACAAAAACCAGGGTAGTCCTGTATGATTTCCTACAATCTGGCTTTTGTTGATTGCATCCCAGTAGTACTATTTAAACATGTTCCTCTGGCCCCTAAGTAGAAGATCTAGAGGCTTGATCACATTAGAATTTAGTATTTGCTTCTTGTCTCCCTCCCCTTCTTTCCTTCCTAACGACTATCATAGGTGCTGGTGTGTTCTTCCATCAGGAGGCAGATAACATCTGGTTCTCTCTCTTCTTTGCGTGATGTTAGCAGATGTTGATGCTTATTACACTAGATCCATCAATTGATTAGGCATTGCAACATGCTGATATTCTAATTTTATTTGTCTTCACTGATTAGGGAGCAGCAAAACCTCCCTTTGTTAGCTCTTTGGTTGCTTTGCGGTTCCCTGCAAGTCGGAGAGGTAGGATGAATGCCAGATGCTTTTCTTTTCCTATAGGCATTTCCAAACTGGTAAGGTGGTTCCTTAGCATTCTCCAAAGAACCAGTGAGAGTTTTTTATTGGTTTAGTATTATGATGAATTCATGGATTTAAGCCATTGCAGTGGTTACTTTGATTTGATACTGAAATTGTTCCATCTTTGGCCAGTGGGAGTTTCTATAGTTAGTTTCCTGAGCCTTTTTGTCACAATCCTGGCAGTCTCTGATAGCCTCCTTGCTTTCTGGAACGACTTGATGTTCACACTTTTTGTAACGGTTTGAATTTATTTAAATGTCACGAGATGTCAAAATATAAGACTCTCTGTTATCCTTTTCATGGCCGCATAGTAATTTATTTATCTTTTATTACCTTTTTAAAAATAGATAATATGTAACATGGTACAGAACCTTTTATTTCATTGCCAAGTTTCCTCTTAGTGAACATTTTGACAATTTCCGAACTTTTGCCATTAGAACAGTCCTACAATAAACTTAATCACGCATATATAAATTTTGTTATACATACCCAATTATGATATGCCTAGGTATAAGATAGCACTGGAAGTACAAATAAATGTAGATTTAAAAATAAATGTGTACACACATATATTTCCTTACTCTGTGAGCTGAGACATCCCAGAAGCAATGACACCCGAGTAGCAAGGAGTGCACCTAGAGCCCAGATCTTTAAATCTTTTTTTTTTTTAAGATTTTATTTATTTATTTGTTTGAGAGAGAGAATGAGAGACAGAGAGCATGAGAGGGAGGAGGGTCAGAGGGAGAAGCAGACTCCCTGCCAAGCAGGGAGCCCCATGCGGGACTCGATCCCAGGACTCCAGGATCATGACCCGAGCCGAAGGCAGTCGCTTAACCAACTGAGCCACCCAGGCGCCCTTTTTTTAAATCTTTTTTTTTTTTTGATTTTATTTATTTATTTGAGAGAGAGAATGAGAGACAGAGAGCATGAGAGGGAGGAGGGTCAGAGGGAGAAGCAGACTCCCTGCCAAGCAGGGAGCCTAGAGCCCAGATCTTGGTTTCTAATACCGTCCTCCAGGGCTGCCTGGATGTGCAGTTGGTTCAGAGTTTCCGCTCAGTTCTCAGGTCGTGATCTCAGGGTCCTGAGATGGAGCCCTGCATCCGGCTCCGCACTCAGTGTGGGTCTGCTTGTCCCTCTTCCCCCCGCCTGACTCTGTCTCTAATAAATAAATAAATCTTTTAAAAAGTACTGTTCTCCAATAAGAGGAACCAAGGCTCATCGGAGATGTGGCTGATTCTGGGGTTGGGCAGTGAAAGACAAACTGAGCCTGGAACATCTTGTAATACCAGAAAGTAAGGAAGTCCCCAAGTGCGCGCACATACCCCCCCCAAAAAATGATGGGGATGTGGGGGACATGTCAGAGGGGCACAGGAGCCAACTGAAAGATCTCCCAGTCACCAAAGCTGGAACAATTTGAGCAACAAAATAACGTAATATCAGATTATAACCCCAAGCATAAAACAACTATCTATGGATCCATACTGTTATAAATAAAATGATTGAATAAGTAAATAAACAGGAGAAGAGAGAAATCTCCTTGTGGGAGGATTCCTAATAATTTATGTAGATACCTCATCCTTCAGGAAGTGGAACATAACTCCGTGCTCCTTAAGTGTGGGCTGTGTGTAGACTTCCTTCCAAAGCATACAGGATGGAAAGGGAGAAGAGAGAGTAGTAGCTTTATAGTGAAGAAACCTGGCAAACACCCCTTCAGCCAGATGATCAAGATTAACATCAGTGACAAGTCATGTTGATCACATGCATCCTTGATATAATGTTAATCCACAGCGTTTCCCCTACTTTTCTGGTATTACTATACTGGGTTTTAAATCTATCTTTTATGACGGTTTTTCTTTACATGTAAAAAACCTGTTCTCAGCTTTGAGCCAATGAATAAAGTGTGATGCATGGTTCCTACCTTTGGTAACTTTGAATCTAGTGGTAAAAGCAAGCTCTAGCAAGCATGTAATCCAGATATAAATCATAGGATGTGATTACAAGGGTTTTGTTTTGTTTTGTTTTAAGTAGGCTCCACACTGACGTGGAGCCCCACATGGGGCTTGAGCCCACAACCCTGAAGTCAAGACCTGAGCTGAGGTCAAGAGTAAGACGCTTAACTGAGCCACCCAGGTGCCCCTACAAGGGGTTTTTCAGTTGAGAAAAGCACAGATATACTGAGGGCTGGTGTAGCCAGGGGAAGTTTCCAGGAAAACATACTCTTCTGTTTATGCAGTCAGGTTTTCTGGAAGAAGGGCTCAATAAGGGTTGGTTTAGGGGTTCAACACATTCTCTTAAATAGGATTTCATTATCACCAAAAATACATGTATTTTAAAAATAATTACATTTTGTCAACCAACCTTATGAGAGATGATAAAATTACGATAATGTAATACAGGATGGATTATCAAATTGGTGGCTCAATTGATCACAGTGTGGTCAGACTTTATTAGAAAGATAGCAAAATCAATGGATTACATATGATGCCCTGCATTCATTTTATGGTAGATCTGGCTAAATCTTGGCTATTTCATGTTTGGGTCTTAATATGTTTCTTGATTTTGTTTTTGTTTTTTTCCTTGTAGGATTGTCTGCTGCCAAACTCTTAGCGGAACATGATGTTAATGTTTTGGTTTTAGAAGCACGGGACAGAGTTGGAGGAAGAACATACACCGTGAGGGTAAGTGCTTTTAACACTTACATGTAATATCTCACTCACACTGGAAGTCACAGAGCTTGAGGTCATCTCAGGGGTTCATGCAGTGAAGCCATTTATCCTCCAGAGCCCTAAACTGCTCCAACAAATAAGGGTCCACGCTTTTCAACAAGCACTTGCAAAGAGTGACCACCACTGACCTTCAGTAGCTTGTATTCTAGTGATGCAAACAAACATGAACAAATAACTTCAATGCACTGTCGTAATTTCCGTACTGGAGACCTAAAGAGAGTATGTAGTGTCTCAGATGGGGTACAGTTTGGCTGGACTTGAAGGGACTATACACCCCCAACACCGTGTGCGCCTGCATGCGCATGCGCGCACGCGCACACACGTGCGCTCACACACAGAGTATAGGGTCCTTGGTGATTTTTCCAAGGATGCACAACTTCAAAGACATGTGGCTACAGTAAAGCAGCAGCAAAGGTAGCATATTTTTGTGTAACGTTGTCCTTGGTCCTTGTTCCCTAAGAGGAATGCTGCTGCCAGAGACGCTCTTTGCTCAGGTAAGGCCCGCTAGACACGAGGAGGAAGCTCAGTTCTTTTTATACTTGGGCTAACGTCACCCTTCTAGAAAAATGCACGCTAACTATGGTTTACTGTTATTCAAGGACACGGTTGCAGGTGGTCAAGCTGGTGGGAGCTGATGAAAGTGCACAGGTGGCCGACATGGGGGAGGGGCGGGAGGAGAGGGCCAAACATGGAAGTTTGGGGAGCACGCAGCTTTAATGGGGGCAGCGGCAGAGGAGTCAGAGAGAAGCAGCAGGGGCAGAGCAGTGCCCTGCAAATCCGTGGATGAAAGAGGAAGGGAGGATGCACAGAGCCAGACGCCAAGGGCATGTGACATAGGATGCGGGCTGCAAAGAGGCCCTTGTGTTTGGCAGTTAGGTCATGAATGAGAGCCTTTTCTCGAGCACACAAATAGAGTGTTTTAAAGGCTGGGGACCAACAGGACAAAACCAGACAGTTGCAGTGACTGGCAAGAGAGGAAGCATCTGTCTAATTAGAAGATGTATCAGACTTACAGCAAAATGGCTTAGGCGGTGCTCATTACAAGGGCTTGAGCAATACAAACATTCGGTTATTTTGCGTAAGAAGTCTGCTAGCAGGGATTCCAGGCTGGTGCGGGCGCTCAGCTTTGTTGTCAAGGCCTTAGGCTCTTCTTGTCTCTCCTGCTCAGCCATTCTTTGCATGTTGGCTTATTGCCTAGTGGTAACCAGATGGCTACTGCAACTCTAGGCATCGAGTCCTCATTTAAGACAGGAAAGAGCATGAAGAGGCAGCCCCAGTTTTCCTTTTAAGTTTGTATTTAAATTCCAGGTAGTTAACATGCAGTGTACTGTTCGTTTCCGGTGTACAATAGAGTGATTCAACACTTCCCTACGCTGCCCGGTGCTCATCCCGACAAGTGTGCTCCTTAATCCCCATCCCCTGTTTCACTCCTCCGCCCCCCCCGCCCACTTCCCCTCTGGGAACCATCTGTTTATTCTCTAGAGTTAAGAGTCTGGCTCTTGGTGAGGTGGCCCCAGTTTTAGCTGCAACAAAGCTTTTCCTTTACGAGAAGACCCCGGCAGACATTCGCTAGTCTCCTTGGCCAGAGTTGGCGCACATAGCTATCCTTAGCTGCTAGGGAGCCTGGGAAAGCAAGTATTTAACATTTCCAGGCTGCATCATAGAAGCGGGCGTGAGCAAGGCAATATGAATGGACATGGTAGAGCCAACCAACATCTGAACTAGAATATTGTACCAGCTCTCTCAGTATTACCACGCCATGCTCCTCCTGTCAATCGCTTCCTACCTTTTCAGATGTACAGGGATGTACCATAGATCCCTTTTCACTCGGCTCAGCTCTAAGAGTGCTCTCCAGCCTTGCTACTCAAAGTGTGGTCCATGGCCCAGCAGCCTCAGAGTCACCAGGGAGCTTGATAGAAATGCAGAATCTCAGGCCCTGTCCAGACCCACTGAATCCAAATCTACCTTTCTGCAAGCATCCCCCCCAGGGGATGGAACGGAAGTGTTGCCCTGTGGTGTGTGCTTGCTTGCTGGCTTGAAATTAATGTAAATTCAGATTGATTGTATCTGGAGAATTTCTGAGTGCTTCCTCAGATGTAGTCCACTGGGAGGCTGTTGGTCTGGAAGCAAGGACCCTGGGATTCTGGCCCCTGTACTCTCTGACACACTGTCTTACCTTGGGTAAGTCCTGTTAGCACTTTACATCTCAATGTGCCCACCTAGGCAGTGAAGATACAATCGAAATGTACTCGAAGCTCCCTTGCGGCTTCAAGTTCTAGTTGAAGACAGTGTGTTGGAGTGCAAAAGAAGGATTGCGTAACCTGCATGTCTGACCTTATTAGATGCAATTCTCCTGTCATTTTCTGAAAACTATTCCTTCACTTTGGAGATAGTTATTAAGTTATTCCTTAGCCCCACGTCTCTTATCTCTAAAACCTTTTGGTTATTAAAATAGGAGCATCAGTCATGTTGCAGATTCTCAGTTAGGAACAGGTTTCTTGATATAAGGGAAATGAGAATTCCAACATGCCTGTCCCCTGCTGCATTATTGTCCCAGACTGACTTTTCACGCTGCATCATTTATATATGTCAGCCCCATACAGGAACTATTGTGTATTGAGCATGATACTGTAACTCCTTAGGTATATGAGGAAGGAACTTTGAAATGCACTTTGCAATGCTTACAAACTAGGACTTAACATTCATAAGATTTCAAATGAATAGAAGGAAAAAAAGGGCTTTGCGAAAAAGGGACAGAAATGGTATTTCATAAGAAACTGAATTGAATATTGTTAGAATTGCTTCTTTTTTCTTTAAATGGGTATCCTTTTTTTAAAAATTTATTTTTTAAGATTTTATTTATTTGAGAGAGAGAGAATGAGCAGAGGGAAGGGCAGAGGGAGAAGCAGGCTCCCCGCTGAGCAGGGAGCCCGACGTGGGGCTCAATCTCAGGACTCCAGGATCCTGACCCAAGCTGAAGGCAGTCGCTCAACTGACTGAGCCACCCAGGCATCCCTGTTAGAATTGCTTCTAAGAGCATCATCACTTAGGATAACTTGGGGTGGGGATGCCCTAAGAGTTACTCTGGATCTTTAAGTACCAAAATGTTAAGTTTGGTATTGTACTTGGCAGCCGTTCAGAGAGATCTCCGATGAGTTCAGAACTTCCCAATTTTTCGGGGCACCTGGCTGGCTGGGTTGGTGGAGCGTGCGACTCTTGATCTCGGGGTTGTGGGTTCGAGCCCCACACTGGGTGTAGAGATGGCTTAAAAATAAAATGTTTAGGGATGCCTGGCTGGCTCAGTTGTTAGAGCATGTGACTCATGATCTCAGGGTCATGAGTTCAAGCCCCATGTTGGGTGTGGAGCCTACCTAAAATAAATTAAAAAAGAAAAAAAAGAACTTCCCAATTTTTCCTTAGTGTGGTTCCTTTATCATTCTTCAGGACCAAATTTATGAAGTTAAAATGCCTTCAGGGCTACCACAGGAATGGTGTATTGGTTTCCTAACATAGTTGCATGTTTGTGGCCTCTTCAGAGGCTGAGAAATAAGATCAAAATCAAGACCTTCAAGATGGAGGCACAATACAGCAGAATATGGTATTACAGTTCCGATATTGTCATGCTGAGCCTGAGGCACCTCCTTTAGAATCTTTCACCTTTGTAAAGAAACATCCTGTAAAAGAAAACAAATGAGGGCGCCTGGGTGGCTCAGTTGGTTAAGCGACTGCCTTCGGCTCAGGTCATGATCCTGGAGTCCCGGGATCGAGTCCCGCATCGGGCTCCCTGCTCGGCAGGGAGTCTGCTTCTCCCTCTGACCCTTCTCCCTCTCATGCTCTCTGTCTCTCATTCTCTCTGTCTCAAATAAATAAATAAAATCTTTAAAAAAAAAAAAAAGAAAACAAATGAACACAAAGACAACAAACAAAACCAGAAGCGGACTAAGTACAGAGAACAAACTGGTGGTTTCCAGAGGGCAGGTACCTGGGGGGGGGGGGGTAGACAAAATAGGTAAAGGGGATTAAGAGATACAAATTTCCAGTTATAAAATAAGTAAGTCACTTGAAAGGGTTAAAAAGTACAGCCTAGGGAGTATAGTCAATAATATTGTAATGATTCATGTGGTAAAAATAGGAAATACTCTGTAAAATGCCTCACACTTTTTACTACTTCACAGGATTCTTTGCTTTAAAAGATAGTGTCAGTATTCTAGAGACATCATGTGTGGAAATTCCCATGAGTCTTCTTGCTGTCTTTGTTAAAGTCTAGAAATTTATTGGAGTACTGACTCCAGTTTTGTTTTATATTTAAAAAGGGAGCTGGAGAAGGTTTAGAGAACAGTAGCAAGGATTAGTAAAAGAGAAGGTAGGGATTATATAAGGGACAGGTGAAAGAAGTCAAAGGCACACCTCATTTCTGGTATTAGGGCAGAATGGAAGCCCTGATTAACACTCCCCATGGGAATAAGTAAAATGCTGAATAAAATATACTCTGCTGCCTTGACATGGGAATCAGAAATTTGCAGATCTCCTGGAGGTTGAACAGACATCTCAAATTTCACCCACTCAACCTGAACTTCTGATCTTCTCCATCAAGACCACCATTCCAGCAGCCTTCCCCCTATCAAAGATGGCAACTCCAAAAAACTCAAGATTCACGCTCAGCACTCTCGGGCTCCACATTCATTCTGTTCACTCTGCCATCAAAATATCTCCAGAATTCAACACTCTGCACTGGCTACCACCTGGCGGGAACCACCATCATCTCTAGGCCACGTTGCTACAATGGCCTTCTAACCGATTTCCCCGCTTTTACCCTTGCCTCCTAGAATCTACTCTTAGTGCAGCAACCAGAGTGAGCCTTTCAAACCTAAGTCAGATCTTGGCACGTCTCCGCTCAAAAGCTTCCAGAGGCTTTCCTTCTCACTCAGAGGCCAAGCTGGTGTCCTTACAAT